CGGAATTTATTAATTTACTACGGATTGATTTTTTAAGATAATCGTAAGCACAGTTTTCTCATAAGATAGAAAAATGAAGTTCGGAGCGACCTAAACCCCCGCTTGGTGTATGCCTCGCGAGCTAGAAGTCCGCATTTCATTATTTATCATCTCCTAAACTGTGTAGTACAGGTAGTGAGATTTTTTTTCAATAGCTGGGGAATATTATAAATATTATCTATGAAAAACATGGGGACAATCGTAAGAAAAACCTGTTTTCTAGAGATATATCTTAAGCCTCAATGATGTACAAACAGTGTAAAACAAAAAAAGTTGAAATAAAGCTTTTTTTATCATTCAAATTTTGTTAGAATTATTGTGAAGTAAACTTTATTGCTATCAATTGCGCAAAAAATATATGCATAATTGGAAAATTTTCATGTAAGGAATAACAGCATATGCTTCAAACAGATGGATGTAATGAGAGGTCAGTCCCCATCCAGAAAAGGTCGGGGCGACTGGTCAAAATTTTTTGCCTAGGTTCCATGTCTCTGTGTAAATGACCGTTGTAAAAGCACCGGATAAGTCTAGCACCTGTCTCCCCTAAAAATTTGTCAATTTTCGTTTGCATTTTTCTCTGTCTTAAATTGGTGGAATGTTGTTTTTTTTCCTTTAAATGATAGTCAGATAATTCAATAATCAAGCAATCGCAACAGGATTATGAATGGAAATTCCGTAAGCCTCGTCTAGAGCTCCGAAAACTTATAAATTTAGCCGGAAATGAAATTTTTATTCTAATAATAAATGGTTATTTTTTTTTCGAAAAACGAGTAATTAGATTCTTTGCGTTTCTACCAGTAAGTGTACAGAGTTTCATACCTATAAGTTGACTGATTCGATTTCTGAAAACCATTATCGTATTTTCCCTATGTGAGACGTGCAAATTTCCATAAGAAATAAAAGAGCTAGGTGTAAGCATTGAAAAAGTTTTAAAAATCTGAAAAAATTCACATCTATTCTTGATTTTTATAATCACCTTTTTCTGGAATCGGAAAGGTGAAATTCTGTCTCCTGCCCCCCTGGGGCATCCTAATGAACACCTACGAATTTTTTGACAAAATTTGAGTAAAATCCAAAAAAATGTCTATACGACCTTTTTGTTCAAGACACCCGATATATCAATAGAGTTAAGTGTAAAGGAAATTCAAATTCTATTAATTCATTCCTGCTTTAAAAAAAAGGCGAAAAACTGTAAAACCTGTTTCAATACAGTTGGCTAAAAATTTAGACAATGGTCAATACTAGTTGAATCGATATGTATTTTTTTACCATTCGCACATTAATGTATCGTAATAGACACATTATACACATTCTTGTAAAAATTTAACATGTATTTGAATGAGTTGCGAAGATTAAAAAAAAAATCTTAGAATTTAGAACATGTAAACCTTCTTTCATGCATATATTCACATTTAAAGACTGTGAAAAATAGTTCCAGTTATAGTTCAAAATATAGTTCGGAAAATTATATTTTATATGTTACCAAAAAAAAAAAGATTAATTATTTTGTTTCTGGAGCTGCATAGGAGACTTAACCCTCCTGAACTGGCTAGATCTCTTACGTCTCACTTGCACTGCAGTGGCGCCCTATAGGTTGAGTAGTTGGCGGCGGCGCGCCGCTCTACCCGCCAGTTCAAGAGGGTTAATGGAATTACCCATGTAGACTTCAGTCAGCTCCTATTATCGGAAGAAAAATCTTCGCTATAGTACATTTTTGTACATAAACATATTCGTACCGGCAATTTAATTATATTTTGTGGAGAAACATTTGCCCTCAGTTGTCAGGAAAATTGCAGCCAACTGGCTCCAACTCTTCGTGCGAACCGTTACTTTACAAGTCGCCATTACATGGGGCGGACAACTTGTACGAAACCCTAGGCTGGCCACCTTAGTCAACAATTTGACGGCAATTTTGCAGCAAGCATTGAAGGCTGTGATTTCTCAGGCTTTTCGACACATCTTGACACCAAGTTGGGCGGTGAACGCCACCAAGCGGCGCTTACCACACTTGCTCGGCAGTGATGGCTAGCTGGGGACAGCTTCGTTGCATACAAACGAGTGTCAACCCAGATAATCACCGTGGCTGAGCAAGTGTTGCGATCGCCACTTGGTGGCGTTGGTCGTGCAACTTGATGCCAAGATGCGCCAACAAGCCCGGGAAATCGTAGTGACCAATACTTGCTGCAAAATTGCCGTCAATTTGTCGACAAGAGTGGTGAGCCAAGGATTTCGTACAAGTTGTCCGCCCCGTGCAATGGCAACTTGTAAGACAACGGTTCCCACCAAGAGCTGAAGCAAGTTGACGGCAATATTTCGGATAATTGAGGGCAAATGTTTCTCCGCAAAATGGAAGCTAATTGTCAGCAAGAATCCATTTCGGAACTAGTCTATTTTTTTTTTAATAATATGGGCTGACTGGAGTCTCGTACGAAGAAACATAATTAAAAATATTTTTTCCGTAGTTTGAGTAAAATAAAAAATCTGTTGTTTGGATGAAAATTTTATGAAAAGTCCTAACATTTTTTCGACAGAATCCATATTGAAGTCAAAAATCGAATAAATGGGAATTGAAAGTAGTATCAACAGAATTCAGATATCAAAGATTAATACTAAAAAAATGACTTCCTCCCTTCGGGTCGGGAAGTTAAAAATAATAAACTAGATGAAAGTTAATAATGATAGAAATATTCTGGTTGATTTTGTTTTTAATCCTCACTTTGGTATTGTTAATAATTCCGATATTAATATCGGAATTATTAACAATTTTTCAAGGTAATATAACAATTGATAGAATTCAAATTTGCTTCACAGCTAATTTTATTAAGCAATTTTTCATAAAATAATCTCAACTCTAATTCCTGTACAAAATCTCTGAATAGGAAAATGAGGTTTCATTGTTTTTTTTTCATTACATAGTTTATTCATTTAGTTTTTCGGCGCGTGTAGCTCACACGAACAGATAATTATAGCGACAATCGGTATGCTATTCATCAATCCATACGGTGAAACCTTATCGCAAAAAAATTTGGATGTGGCACCTTCATTTTTAAGAGAAGTTCAGGTGAGGGACTCATACGGGATTGTCATGTATTGTGTTTCTATGCACGAATCGTCGTTATTTATTGCGAAAATCACTATATCCAGTTTAAAATAACAATTTATGATGGAGAGGAATGTTCATGAAAAATTTATTTTCTCGAAAAGAGAAAAATTAATTTCAGAATATTCGAGACGTTTGACTAGGCATAAACAAAATCATAAATTATTGTAGAATTATTTGAGGATAACGTAAAATCTCCGAAACGCCGAGAAAATCACGTGCAGACAAAAATAAAATGAAGATATTTTTTTTTATTTCGAGTTGAAATTTTCGAACGAGACATTCCTCTTTTTTTCTGCACTTTTCAACACGTGTGCAACACTTGGCCTCAGCTCGAGCGGAGGCGCTTTCCCTTTTTTTTATATACGTACTTTTCCTTGTCACAATACTTGACCAATTGCAATTGAAAGAAGTGTCAACGGTTTTCTCAACCAATAGAATTTTGGAAATCCCACCCATTTCTGTCAGAAAAGGGAAAAGTAACTCATCAAAAAATTTCCAAGATTCAGTTTGCACCCACGGGTCCACGTATTCACATCGCGAAATATTCTCAGGTCTTAGCCAAAGTGTCAAGTCAAATCAATTTGATTATTCAAACACTAAATATATTTCATGAGACAAGTGTAACATATGAGTATTTGAGACTCAACCCATTGACTCAGTCCTAAAATCTAAAAACATTCATTCATTTTTAATTCCAAAAATTCAACACTAGGCAAGCGAAAATAGGGTAGCTTGGCAATTCAAAAATAATGATTTGATTGTTTTCATTACACATAATTAATTTTCACATTTAAACGCACATTTAAAATTTAAATATTCTCGAGGAGTGGAGTGCCCGAGCGACGTGCGTCGAGGAGAAATGCGCATGTCCCTCCATACTTATGGATGCTGTGTGAGTGTGTGTCTGACGGCGAGTTAGACGGACGTGTAAAGACAATATATATCTTCTCTCGTGTTTTGCCGGCATCGTCTTAAATATTAACCGATAGTGCATAAAAGTTGTAACGTTGATTGAGTGATGAAAAATTGATATAAGTTTTATGAAGACGTGACTTGAAAAACTCTCGGAGACGAATTTATCAAAGTATCACTTGTTTCTCTGCGCTAACAAAGGTAAGTGTTTATCGTCTTACATTCGCTGTCTGTAGAGAATTAATTTGTAAATGACAAATTGACTAGATAATGAAGTGCAAATTAACGAAGAAAAATATGATTTTGTAACATAAAAATAATTTCCAAGTGTTTCTTGGTCAATTTTTTCAGGAGAAACGCATCAGCATTACAGCCATTAATGGTGAGTCAGAGAGGAAGGATTGTTTATGTTTGTTAGGTCGTAGTGTTCGTTCAAGCTCCGTTGAGAATTCCACTGAATAGCTATGTGGCAGTGCAACTTGAATAACTCCCACGGTCTTTCCATAAAAAATATCGTACGCAAATCCAGCTGCAAAATTTTAGAGACTTTTTTGTCTATTTCTTTGCAGTACTTATGTAGAGAGAAAATAAAATTTCTCGATTAGCGAAATTATCACCTTTCAATTACGATTTTATTTTGTGATTTTACCTCAAAATAATTAAATCACATAGAACGTGTGTAAATATTGTTAAAAAAAAAAACAAATGAAACATACTCTTCGATCGGAAATTTTTTGAATTCCCGAAAATGATGTTTATCCCCCCCTCCCCGCCGTTGTGTTGTAAAGCGGAAAATAAATCTTTAAAATACAATTCATATATTTTTTTTCAAATTCAGAACATTTCTGATCGAAATTTTATTTGAAACTCGTTCGCTCCTATGCTCAACTGTAACAGAATAAATAAACTACTGTTTTTCTAAAAATGATTTTATCGATCACTTGATGACGGTCACAATAGTTATTTCGTCGGCTATTCCTCAGAATTATTGAGTGATTTCGATGCGAAAACTTTTGCTGAAATCGCTCAGTTGAAATCCCGAATTCATTTATTAGACACCACTATATCTCTTCAAACATTCTCAATTCTTCTTTCAGAACTATTCAATCCATCAGAGATGAAAGGTAAAAAACATAGTGTCTGACCATCAAGAGAAAACCGTTATGGACGCGAAATTAAACGAAGACGAAAACCGTGGAATGAGCTTTCCGATCGACAGCGAAAAAATATTGACAGAGAGAATCGTAACGGACTAGGGCCATCATCTTCACAAATCAATCAAAGACTCAATTTCTCGAAACCTCCTGACCCAGCTAGTAGCTCTCATTCCTCCTCTAGCGCCGTGATTCGTAGCTATGATGAAGCTAATATGCTTCCATTCGAGTCAATCCGAAACTACGATGATTCAGAAATGGTTCCAACTTGCAGTCGCTGTCCTTCTTCCCATGGGGAAATGGATATAGATATTCCAGAAGAAATCACCTCATCTCCCCCGTTGAATACTACTCAGCCTACAAGCTTCAAAGACGACCTAAGTCAGGCGTATTGACAGACTAACGTCAATCATGTTCAAGGGGATGCTATACTTCGTGTTCTTCTCGGTCATCACTGTTTTCAATCAGTACTACCGAAAACAACTCGGAAATTATTAAACACCCCCCGAAAACCTTCACAATTGAAAGTGGTTCATCCAGGGGAATACTTACACTTGGGTTTTGCCCAAGCATTACAGGCAATACTGGTCCTCGTTGATGTTGGGTTTTGCCCAAGCATTACAGGCAATACTGGTCCTCGTTGATGTTAACGTCATACCAGATCATTTATTAGTTGACTTCAACACGGATGGTGCCACTCTCAATAAGTCAGTGAAGGGTACGATTTGGTCGATCCAGATAATTATTGCTAATATTCCTGGTTCCAAGCCGGAAGTAGTTGGAATATATAAGGGGAAAGAAAAGCCAGCCGATGCTTATGATTTCTTCCAATATTTTTTGAATGATGTCGATGCAGTTGCAGCTGCTGGAGGGATTCTCTATAATAATAGACGCCTCAAAGTTTCATTAAGGTTGTTCCGCGCTGATGCTGCAGCTCGGGCGTTTATGTTGAATCACTTCGCGCATAATTCAAAAGTGCCCTGCTCGAAGTGTAAAATCGTGGGATGTGCCTGTTCTGATAATCCTAAAAAGAGGAAAGGCTTAGCTTACATTGGAGTAAATTGGGAACCACGCACAAATCTAGAGTACGCTCTCGCTATCGACGGATCGCATCATAAGGACGGCGAATGTTGTTTGAAAAATCGAATTCCTCTTGTTACAAATGTTCCCTTCGAGGTTCAGCACTTGACATATCTTGGAGCCATGGACAAATTCTTAAGTGCTATCATTGGTGGAAATATCAAACGTTCTGTTAAATTGTCGTTTGAAAAATTGCGTAGGGCAGAAAACCGCCTTCGAGTTATCTCGAATTGTTGTCCACGCGATTTTTCTAGACATCCTGAGAGTTTTGAGCGCTACACGAAGTTCAAGGCTACTGAAAATCGACAAATACTTCTCTATACTGGAATTGTTATATTCTCCGGAATAATCGAGGAAGAAACATATAATTATTTCCTACTGCTCCATTCAGCAATGCGAGTTCTCGTTCATAGACATTCCACTCCACAACACGTTGCATTTGCTGAAATGGCAATGCCTGTTTACGTTGAACATTGTCCCAAAATTTTCGGATGTAAATATAGTTGATATAACATTCACGGTCACCTGCATACGATTGATGATTATAAAAATTTCGGCCCACTCGACTCGATCTCCACATTTCCCTTTGAGAACAACATGACCATTTTCAAAAAATACTGCCGTAAACAAAATCAAAGCTTACAACAGATCAACAACAGGCGATCAGAATTGATAAATAAAAAATACTCTCATCGTAAGACTGATTCTCCTATTACAGCATCTCAACAACACACGCTAGGTCCTTTACCGAATTTACCATTACTTGGTTATACTCAATACAAGAAAGTATGTTATCACAAACTCACATTTCGACTTGATGCTCGTGATAATACGTGTATAACCCAAGAGGGTAGCATTTGTATTATTAAGATTATCCTTCTCACAAATGGTTGTCACCACTTGTTAGTGCAAAAATTCAAAGTAGCGGAACTATTCTACGACGTAGGTTTACCATCAACTGAGTTTGGTGTTTATAAGTGCTCGGATTTGCAAACCGATCTCTCTCTCATCTTAATGACTGATGTAAAAATAAAATGCTTCCGAATGCCGCTCTGGTCACGTAGACAACAAACTAATATGAATTTGCCTGAATTACCTCTTCAAGGTTGTTTTATTGTCGCAGTGTTATTGCATGAAAATCCAATGGTTCCGAATCCCGGTGAGATTTCGTAGACACGGAACCAAAATCAATTCACGTCAATCAACTATTTACACTGGAGGTTATTTATGAAGTTAATTCAGGGAATGAGTTGACTCAAAAGCATGAGAGTAAAAAAGCAGATTGTTTTTTTTTTTTTTTAAGCTGAGCAAGCACAGAAACAGAAATACCGGAAAACATAGCCAGAGGGATGAAACACTGGAAAGATCTGAATCTCCGGACGACATGTTTTCTTCACCTTCAGGAAGAAGATGAAGACTTCCGTCTTACCACTGCTATCGACAATATTCGAAGCGATTTACAACGGAAAAATTCATCCCAGAGTAACAAGCAGTTCAAACCTTGTCATTCTCCTTTTGATGACTCTGATGCAGAGAACAAGAGTTCAAATGCCAACGTGACCAGAAACTCTACTCCTTCAACTCCGTCAGTATCGCCCCTAAGTTACCTCGGTCCCTTTGGATCGAACGACAAAGACATTGAGGCTATAAAGGCTCGAAAGAAGGAAGAGAGAAAAGCAAATTTACATCAATTACATTTGTATAAGAGACAATTGAGACTGAATCAGAATAATGAAGTTGTTCATGCTGGAAACAGTGATGAAGATGAAAGGGATCTTGTACGAGGATCAGCGGGGCGAAAGAGGGAAGCTGAGAACATTAAATCACAGCAGAATATCTCTAAAGTGAGAGAGGATCATCTATCGGACAACACAGACACTGATGACGAAGGTGTTCTTGGAGCAAAAGCCGTAAAAGAAAAGATTGACCAAGAACACATGAGAAGGAAGGCAGGAAAGCAAATACGAGACAGTATAAAAGAGAAAAGAGAGCTAGAGGAGAGACGAACACGAGATATCGAGGAGGAAGCGAGGCGATCACGAGAGCTACGAGAGGAACAAGAAAGACAAGGACGAGCTGTCGAAAGAGATAGGCGAACACGTGATAGTGAAGAAGAAGGTAGCACACCAGATTCACATGCTGGGGAGGATGAAGAAAGCGACTCTCATAACGAAGTCGATGCTGATATAAGTAATAACATCTTGAGGGATATGCTGATACATCATCATAAGGTCATGAAAGAAGGAATAGGGTAATCGTCCGTACAAGTTTATAACTAATCCCTTCCATAGAATTCATGATTTAAGCTACAATTGCAATTGCATTATTTCCATAGATTACAACTAACCGACAGCATGAGATTTTTTATGTTGAAATTCTATGGCAATTGCTGAAATCCAATACCCAAGACCTTCCAAACAATCGGATATATCTTGATAGCTTGCTTGCTAATCAATGAATTTTATTACACGCTCGTTTTATTACAGTTTCCAGTTACCGATCCTCACTGAAAATTATTTGATTGCAGGAAATTGTACGGTAAAGTATCATTTATGAAAATTAAACTATCTAGTGTGGAGAAGAAAGTTGCAGACCTCGAGAAAGTCTTGGAAACCCGTGACGGAGACATTGAAGGGATGCCCCTCGTACGACTTGATTGTTTACCCATTCGATCAGAGGCCGAGTGGAATTCTTTTGAGGATGAGATCAGTGATGCAACGTATTCGAATGTAGTAAGTTTGATTAAAAATTGAAAAGTAATCGCAATGCAAACTGCTGATATTAATTCCTGGGGAAGGGTTTTGTGATAAATGTGATCTAGTGGATTAGGATGAGTGAATACTTAAATTCCTGCTGATCATTTATTTATTAAGATCAAAACAATTGGTTCCGGGTAGCACGTATAAGAAAAGTCAATAGAAAAAGCCTAGCGAATTCACTGGAAAATTCTGTATGAATTCTATCGGGTTCTTATAGGATCTTTATGGCAATTCTATTGATAAATTGTATTCCTTTTCTGCGCCAATTCTATTGGATATTTGAAACAAATAATTCAATAGATTTGTAATTTTTCCTTGAATTTTCCTGTCAAGATTTATCATGTTTAAGTTATTGGGCACAGATTTCCCAAGTTTTATTCACTGTATTTTGTTTTGCTTTGCAGAACAGAATTCGAGTGGAAAAAAAAAATTATGAAATCTGTAACCAATAATTCTAATAGAAAAAATCCCAACAGAAAAATTCAAATTCAAAATCTAAAACGAATATAATTTTCCAATACAATTGTGATAGAGATCCTATAGAATATATATAGAATATCAGTAAAATTTTGCAGCAAATTCATTAAGCTTTCTATTGAAATTTTTCAGACATGGACAATTCGTCAAAATTAATAATAACCTATATGATATTATTTGGTTAGCATACAGTAGAAAAATCTTCTGTAACGGTTCAACTATTTACTACTAAATCGTATATCATTGGTGTCAGGTTAAATACTTCGTTGGACTCGGAGGATGCACCCTTCGGGACGCGATTGGTTTGTGTGTGAAGAAAATTTTCGAAGGAGGAATCATAAATGATGTGACCTGAACAGGTACCGGTCCAACGGACAGACTTCGCTTCGAAGGGACAAAGCTCGCTCGATGCCTGAGAGGTGAGATTTTAAACTATATCGGAAAGACCAACTGTTGATTTTTACCAAACCATTATTTACCATTATATGCTTAGAAAATTAGCTAGGAATTTCACTCGACTCGAAGCGAATTACAGGAATTTCTCGTGGTACATTCCAGAAAAGTTCTTGGGGTATAGCATAATTTCTGATTCTGGTATAGTTATAAAAGCACGCATGAAAAAATCAAATAGAATTTTCTAGCGAATTCGCTTAGAATTCTATTGGAATTCCATAAGAATTCTATAGAGTTTCTATAGGATTTCTATTGGAATTCTATTGGAAAATACTTTTCGTTTTTTGCACTGATTCTATTGGATATTCTATATGCAAAATTTGATACATTTTGAATTTCTATTATAATTTTTCTATTAGAATTATTGTTCCAAAAACTTCCAAGTTTTTTCTGATGTATTCGGCTTCATTTTCCATGAAACAATCCGAGTGAAAAAAAAAATAGAAAATTGATGAAAAATAATTTCAATAGAAAATCTTCAATATTAAAAAGATTTTTTTTTTATTAATAATAGAAAAATTCAAACAGAAACTCAAAATTTATTAAATTTTGTCCGTACAATATACAATACAATTTTCTGATAGAAATTCAATAGAAATCCTGTAGAATTCCTATTGAATTCTTATAGAATTCCCATAGAATTTTCTAGCGAATTCGCTATTGGACATTCTACAGGAAAAATTTAATAGATTTTAAATTTCTAGGATTATTTTTCCAAAAATTTTCAAGTTTTTTTTGCCAGATTCGGTTTCATTTTGCATTAACGAATCCAAGTGGAAAAAAATTATAAGATTTATGAAATATAGTTCTGATAGAAAAACCACAATAGAAACCTTCTAACAGAGATTCAAAATTTATTAAACTTTGCCTACGGAATATCCAATAGAATCAGCGCAAAAAAAAGAATTTTCCAATAGAATCCCAATAGACATCCTATAGAATTTCAATAGAATTTTCTAGCGAATTTGCTAGATTTTTCTATTGAATTTTTTCATACGTGTCTACGGGGAGAATTAAGCTGAACTTACTGGAGAATTTCACTTGATTGGATCACAAATACTGAAACGATAAAACCCAGATACTCGTTGCCTGTTAGGCGTTAACTGATTGTGAATATCTTTTTTTCCGTCTGACAGGTGCCATGCGCAGGACTCAAAAAAATGGACATTTCCCAAATTTCACAGAACAGGAGTTCCATGATAATGTAAGGGCCGCTCTGAAATCTGATAAACAAAGATTAAGGAACAGCGCTCGCCACGATCCTCAGGGACAACAGAACGATGGTGTTGGACAAGAGATTCCATCGAAACGCGGTCGACTTTCGAAAGCTCAGAAAGCGGCTATGGATGATGGAGAACGGGTGTACAACTCATGAACCATCGCATTGAAGTTACTCTCCGTTATGCTCATACTTTTCTACTTCATACTTATCATTCAACTTTTCTGTTTTTTTTTTCTCTACAATATGGCTTGTGATTAGTCCTATAATAAAAAGATTTATCATTCCAAACGCCTGATGATAATTTTCAATGAGAATCCTCTCCCAACACACTACAAACATATGAGCAATTTGAATTCAATTTGCTAACAATGCAACGCTCCAAACGTCTGGCCAATTTGAATTCAAGTTGCCGGCAATACAGCTGCAAGCGTTGGCGTCAAATTGCTCGCATCTTGGCGCCCGATGAGCGCGCCAATACTTGCCGTCATTTTGGTGTCAGATTGGGTAAGTAAGGTTACATGGAATTGTCGGCAACGATTGCCCCTCGTTGGCGTCATCTTGCCATCAAATTGGCAGTAATTGGTTATCTGGGAAGTTTTATTTTTTAGGTTAAAAAATCCCGAGCGCGAAGCGCGAGAGATTTTCCTACAAAACTTGACACGATCGTTTGTTTGCAGGGAAGGTTGAAGGAAATACCCGATCCTTATCCTTATAGAAAAAAGCATACATGTCATGGCGGATAGCATGTCTTTAATGAGAGCACTCTTTAATGCCTAAAGGAGGTTAGGCGGTGTATGAGGTGAATTTGAGAGTGAATTTCTGTGGTTCCCGGTAGCTTAGTCGGTAAGAGTGCCCGGCGCGTATCTGGGAGACCCGGGTTCGATTCCCGGCTGGGTGAAGCGGAAATTTTTTCTCTCTAAATTCTAATTCTCTTAGAATTCTTTAATGCCTAAAGGAGGTTAGGCGGTGTATGAGGTGAATTTGAGAGTGAATTTCTGTGGTTCCCGGTAGCTTAGTCGGTAAGAGTGCCCGGCGCGTATCTGGGAGACCCGGGTTCGATTCTCGGCTGGGTGAAGCGGAAATTTTTTCTCTCTAAATTCTAATTCTCTTAGAATTTTTTTTTTTTTTTCAACAACAATCTTCTTTATTTCTACAGAATGTTAAAAAGTGTCATGGCCGCACACGAACGACGCATTCTCATGTGAACTTTCATGAGAATGAGCAATGCGGCCGCGACGGCGCTATTCAAGAAAGTGCACGTAAATTACAAATCGGATTCTCTATGTGAAATGAAAAATTGTTGGAATGATGATTGATAATTGGATAACTTGAAAGCCAAGAATGGGATGAAACAAGTGGGAAATTACGTTTGTCGTCATATAGTATTGTTATTTTTGCTTATTGTTATATTTATCACAGATGTAGCCACTCAAAAATATATGTTTTTGGGTGTTTGGGAAATTACTTTTTTCGTCATAATACAGTATGGTTATTTTTGCTAATAAATTACCAATACACTTCCGAATGGTCATTTTGCACCGCATTTTCTTCTATCGTATATAATTCATTGTTTGATAATCCTCTTAATAAAAAAGCTTGCATTGCAAACTGTCATGGCGGAGAACATGCATTTGGAAGTGTCATGGCGGCGGGCGAAAGAGCCGAAAGACGCATGAACTTCCATGAGGTGGAACAATGCGGCCACGACAGCGCTGTCTAAAAAAGCGCGTGAATTATAAAGTGGACTTATTGCTGATAACCTAAACTAAGAAACAAATATCGTGTATACATACATTGAATACATCAGTGCATATTTTCTACACATGGATTGGTTTATAATGACCGGAATATGAAATTATTTTTTGATGATGACTGTTAAAAATTGAAAGATAGTTGAAATGATTGATAATTAGATGAACTTGACCTATCGTCACAACATAGTCAATATATTTTGGCTCATAAATTAACAATGCGCTCCCACAGGTGAATTTCTATAACGATGGAATTTGAATTGAATTCAATGATTTATTGTATTCAATTTATTGACATTGCCTCAATGTTGGCAGCCAAAATTGCACCAAAAATATTGGTTTCTAAATGATTTTTTTCAACGAAAAATGATGCAATCAATTCCATGATGGAACTTGGTCAGGATGCCATTGAGAAGAATATTGTAAATTATAATTAGACTTATTTAAACAACTTTTGTCATTTGTCTTCGAAAAACGATCAGTCACATATACCCATACATACACAAACATGCATACATGCATATATGTAGGATTCATGACAGTAAGTTTATTTGCGGAATATAATTGACTTTATTTAATCAAACAAATATATTTAATATCTCTCGACTCGAAAATTTAAACTCCGGTTGACAACTGACTCATCTTCACTTCTGGTCATCCTTAAATACTAAACAGTCCCTAATGCTATCCTTGTCACTTACACTCACCTCTACACTCATTCCTTCTCACTCTATTTTCACTCATTCCATCACTCTCTATATTCTCGAACATACTTAATGGCGTGTCCACCCTCAGACCCAAACCGTCCGTATTTTATTATTTTATAGGCTAGCCATCGGTTTCCCAATTACGCCGCTTACTTCCCCGACGTCTAGACGGTCCCCAATTATTCCTCTGCTCGACTAAATTTTACTGTATTATTTTATTACTATAATCCCTAATATTTCCAGTCTTAACCGATTGCCGGCGGGACGTTTCCCACCTCCCCTTTTCCACGTTTTTCCCCAACAGGCGACACTCACTCAACAAATGGGGAAATATACATTCTACATATATACATTCGGACATGGTCTAAAAATTGCATATTCGAACTCCTGAGTCCAAAAGTAGTTATCTTGATACAAATGTTGGCATTTTTGGATTCGACAAATAAAATGTTTCCATTCGGAAGTAAAATGACACTCATGTTTTTTTAAATGATTCAGACCAAATTCGTAACTCACATAATTAATATGATTGCATTTTTTCTTATTCGATTTTTGTTTTTATACGCTTGGTGAATTGCAATCAGTACTTATACCATAAAATCAAAGAATATTGAATTTTCTCCCTGGAATAAGAAGGTCAGAATACTTTTCATTCAAAGATTTTCAATCATCTAATTTATCAATTGAATTGGATAGGGAAAGCTCGAAAATAAAGGATGGATAATTAGCGGCTTTCGAACAAAATTCCATGAATACTTGCTTTTTTCAATATTCTCTTCTTAGGAATGAATAATCAAATAGTTCAAATTTACAAAAAAAACGTATTTTTTTCAATTCAGTTACAGTATAGTTCAGGAAAAATTATTCTTTGAGTTAAAAATTAATTATGATTGAATAATTTGTAAAAAAACAGTCATGGTCTCCGAAAATCGGAATTTTTAAATAATTTCATTAGTCTAGTTCGAAAAGTTGACTTTCTATTTTTTTCGATATTTTTTCAATATTCTTTCATAATTATGAGTAATTATGGGTAATTAGCAGTTATACTGTTGAAAAAAAGAATTGAAGTTTTAAGGACAGTTTAATAGTAAATTTTAGAAGTTTGAGAGGGAAAAGTCATGAAGTTTAAAATTTCACTGAAAATTTACTGCAAACTCCACGTTTTTCAACAGCATGAAGATGAAAACTTCCAAATTACTTGAATTCTCATTCAATATATGAACATTATGTACCTAATTACTCGATAGTTTCGGATGCTGAAGCAATTATAATTGTCCAAATCGAAAAAAGAATTATTTAACATTCTGAATGTTACGTTTAGTGAGTTTTTCTCGAAAGTTGATTAGAATCAGTAGCTAGAATTATGCGATTATAGAATTTGAATGCGACACAATGAAAACTATGATCAATTTTTTCACTTTGAAAAAAAAAATAAGTATCTAAATTTAAACATTGTAGAGAACAAGAATAACGACATTTGTGTCATATACTGTGAATTATTAAGATGAATTTTAGATTAACGAAAAAAGATGGTGCAGAAGTCACACTGTCATTTCAACTTTTTATTTTCAATTTTGTGCTGGAAACATGAGATGATATTCAGAGGATAGCCAGTTTTTTCCGGATGATACGACAGTTCCAGAGAATTCAAAATAATTATGAGGGTATCTCTTAAATATCCGATAATTTTTGAATAGACAACAGGAGAACCATTAATAGGAAAATGTGGAATTTCTCAAATAAAACCGATGTGAAAGAGTTACAAGCTCGAACATAATTTGAAAAATTCGAAAAATTTATCGAATTTTCTCACTAATTTCACAAACATTAAAAAAAAATCACAAAAATTTCGGAATTTTATGGAGAATTCGAAAGAATTTCAGATGATTCATGATTCAAGTTTTAAGTCCTATAATATCTAATAAAATAGGAAAAATTGTGAATGACGAGAAATACTCCGAATTAGCCAAAGAGCATCAGAATCGGGCTTATAATTTTTCCAGAAAAATAGTTGAATGCTGTTGTAAAGGTGTAAAGGAGAGTCAAGGCGGCGGCGAAGACTAAAAAATTCTGAGTTTTGAGAAATTCAATAATTATTGTTTTGTACTTTGAATCCAATTTTGATTATAATTATAGGTAGAATCTTATTCAAGGAGCACAGAAATTCAGAATTGGTAAATCACTTATTGAAATATTGACATTGAACCGGCGATCAACCGATAAGCATTATTTTCATGCATCTTAACACTCAGTATAATAAGACGATGACGAATCATTCTTTTTTGAAAGAAACAATGAAAAAAATTGAAAAAAATATAAGGAAAGGGCATCAGCGTCGCGGCCATGGCGGCGCTAGCGAATATACAAAAGGAGCCTTCCAGTTTGACTGAGATAACAATGCAAAGCCAAAATGGTTAAGAGTCTTAACCTAAGACCAGGAAGATTAAGATTTTAGGAAATTCGTGACGATGTGTTTCAACTTTACAAAATCCATTTCAAATAGAATGGATAGAAGAATGGATTAAGTGTATGTTCTTTTTAGAATAGGACTTTTAGACGGCAAAAAAATGTGAAACTAGAAAAAGATGTTTTTTGCTTCCGAATGGAAGCATTGTTTTTGGTCGATTTTTTGATTTTTTAATTTTGATTGCAAATGGTCTAGAATGTTATGGAACGTGAAGAAATGATGTTCATAGAGTCATGTCCGTATGCATGTATGTGCAGATTTGGGTTTTTGGTGATTAATTTTTAGAAAATT